GTTCTACCTTTTCAGCCAAAAAGGACTAATGTAGATGTGTGAACGGCAGATGTGCTAGTAATGTTTTTTAGACTTATGATCAAGATCTTAGTCAACAGGCTTAGAGCGTAAACTCTCTGCAATACTGGGGAAATGAAGCCTGGTTATTTATTTGGAACGCTGCAGCTTCTCACGACATCTTGTAACTGCCCAGAGGTAGCTAACTTCCAATCTGATCGCATCCACAACTGTCTGTACACGCTGGACGGTATTCAAAGTTATTACACAAGAGGCCATGCATCCACTGACTGTCCAGTAGGCACAGTTCTCAACTATTAATTAAGTCTGGAGCAAGGAAGCTGTTCAGTAGAATTCCTGTACTCTTTGAAGTACAATGCTGTTACTCTCAACGCCAACAGCATTTGGAGCCCAACATCTGGAGCCAACAGAGTGGATTCTGAAGTAAATATTCTGTTAACTTGGGTTATGTAATCAATTCACACATTAATACCACCCTTTCTTCTGTCGGCAGATCACCTTTACATTATTAATTTCACCACATAATTCTTATCACACAGTAAAGACTGTTAAGTGGCTGAAGGACAGACACCTGACTAGAGATGTGAAGGCCCAGAAAAAAACCGGAAAAATTCGGGGGGGGCAAGGTGTTCAAATATTTTCCAAATCATTTCTAAAACATATATATATATATATATGGTATCAGCTTGATCTAATTTCTGTGCACTGAGGGCAAGCAAGTCCTAGGTTACAAACTGAACTCTCCAATGCAAGAACAAGATGCATTTCTTCCTTTAGGAGGTGCGATTGTCAGAAGAAAATTAAAAGGTTTCAGTTTTGTTTTTGCATGTGCATGGGTATTCTGTTTGTAATAATTGTTTGGATACACTATATTTTTAATATGCTAGTTGTGCCAAGTAAAAATGTCCATAGTCATATTTTATGTTCCTAAAGTAACAGAATGACTTTCAATCTGGAAAAGTCAAAAAAAATGCGAATGTAGCATTTTTTTCAATTTTTCCGAAAATTTCCGTTTTTTCCCGGAAAAAACTGGGGGGGAACCGGGTTGTTTTTTTTTTTTGAGGTTCAAAATTTCCGGAAATTTTACATCTCTACACCTGACTACAGTTTTTCAGAGCACACTCACACATGGAGCAGAGATTCTACTCTGTATTAGACAGAGCCAAATACTGGTCATTATTCAAAACTAACGAATCCAGAGGGGAACAGGACTCTTGGGTTCACTGTCATGCTATCAAATCAATCTAGGTAAGTTTCTTTGTGTGCTCGTACAAGTTACACCCCCCATACACTGTGTGTGAAACACTAGCAAATTAAATATTTTAATGTGGCACCAGTTCTTTTAAAGCACCTTATTAATGCTGCAGTCACAAGAACAATTTAAAAACACACGTGAAGCAATTCAATGAAAAAGCACTACACCCAGCTGTGCTGCTCCCAGCAAGATCCTGCCCTTCCCCCAAACCCCACGTCCTTCTGCATGAACTGGAAAACAGGACTTAATGAGTCAGACTGGAAAGGCTTCATATTATTAATGACAGGGTGCTTTTCAATGCATGAATCTCATGAATACCAGCCTCCTTCCCACACTCCCAGTAAGTTTGTTGTGGCTGGCCACCAGCCCCCAGGTGCCTGTGTGCCTGGACCTCACAGGGATCAGCGCCAATGAGCTTTGATTTTGTGAACCTTTCTATCATTGTGGGGGAGGGAAGGAGAGTGGTTTTGGAGCACAGCAGCTAAGAGACACACTGGCAAGTCAAGGTTTTTAACTCTTTCATCTGACATGGGCCCCCCAAACTACACACACACAATATGGAATTGCAAAACTGACCTACCTTACACGGTTGTTGTTGTTGTATGAATTACAAGATAATCACATGAAGCAACTTAAACATGATATAAATTTTAAGTACTTCTTTGTCATACGTAAGTGAGCAGTAAACCAGAATTCAACGGTATTCATTTCACTTCTGCTGAGAGTTCACAAATCCTAGGCAAGCAACCATTCTGTCCAGTGGGGGCAAATGGATACTTAGGCAAGCACCCCTTTTTAGCTTCTCCACAGGGAGAACACTGATATACATTTACAAAGATTCTGTAAAGCTGCAGAGGACGTATGAGAAGTGCCCTGAACGTTCTTGAAGCCCAACATGACCCCCACGCGCTTCTCAAGTTTGGGGATAAAATCCAAATCTTTTTGAGATTTTGATAAACTCTTTTTGAGTTTTGGGATACAATCTTGTTGAGTAGAACAGAAAAGAACAAGGAGTGTCGGGCTGCTCCCTACCATCTGGGTGACTAGGAATGCACTGAGCTCACCCTTGGCAGGCATGCCACACCCAAGTGCCCTCAGCGTGACCACAGACACAGGCTCTTGCATGTTTGGAGCTGGAAACCTCTCTCTGCAGGAGTGTTCAAAGGAGCAAGCCCTTCCCCTTTTGTTGGCAGCTAAAGCTGAACAGCACCTATTTCCCAAAGCAGAGCAGCTTTCTTCCGCCACCTTTGTGCATACGCGCTTCAGGAGAGTCCAGGGGACATCGATTATCTGCTTAGGGCCAAAGTAGACATAATGGCATCCCTGCGTCCTTTCCATGGATGCCGCCGCCATTCAAAAATGTTGCAAGACTCAATCCTAACCAGGCAAGCGGCACAGCAAACTGAAGGGCTCTTGTTGTCCCCACCCCCATGTCTTTTCAAGTGCTGAAACAGCCACAGTAGAGTTTGGCCTTCAGACTGCCCACTTGGTAGCACTTGCTTTCACTGGAGGAAGAGAGATTCCAAGCCAAACGCAAAGGTCTCCTCCGCCCACAGCAGCCATTTTGTGGTGGAAAGTACTACCTCTCTCAAAATTCCAAAAGTGCCCAGAGGTCTACCAAAATGGGGGAACCTGCTCTAAAGCACTCTTAACAGACATGGTATTTGGGAAGGAGGAGGTAGCTGAGAGAAAGCATACAAGTGTGAAGGGGGAAATTAGAAAACCTCTGCAAGTGCTGGGTTCAAACTTTCTACATTAGGCTATCCTATAAAAATTATGCCATATCTGCTTCATCCTTTCCCTTGCCTTCAATCTGTCCAATACGGGGAACAGGACTGTGATCTATTGCACTATTATTATATGTATTATTTTGCTGCTATGGCGTTGTCTGCTACTACTGAAACTCATTTTCTACAGTTTGTAATATGTCACATCTTAGACTTCCTTGGTTTTATAAACTGATTGCATTGTGATTTCTCATGCAATCCCGACTGCATCGCTTTTATATTTGGTAATCAATCTTGAGTCTCAATGAGAAGGGTAGCTTATAAAATAAAAAAGCTGGAGGAAGGGATTTAAGCAACAATTAGGAAAGTTCCATGCCCATTCTTTAGAATTCAAATTGTGCCACTGGGGGTGAGGGGAGAGAAAAAGCAAAAAGACAGCAACACTGATGAGCCTATAGAAAAGACCTTGCTTAGCCACCCAATGGTAGCCCCTCCTCCCTCCACCCTTCCTTATTTACCCTCCTCTTCCCTTTTAAGCCCACACTCCCTCTTTCTGTACTTTTGTGTTGAGTTTCTTTCTCCAACTATAACACTTATTAAAAAAGACACTGGAACAATACAAAGAGAAGCTTCACTTGCATAAGTGTTGTGTTGAAATTGTCCTTCCCCACACTCCCCAACCAGCTTGTAATAAAATGTCAGAAAAAGCAAAGACAGCAACACTGATGAGCCTATAGAAAAGACCTTGCTCAGCCACCCAATGGTAGCCCCTCCTCCCTCCCTTATTTACCCCCCTCTTCCCTTTTAAGCCCACACTCCCTCTTTCTGTACTTCTGTGTTGAGTTTCTTTCTCCAACTATAACGCTTATTAAAAAAGACACTGGAACAATAAAAAGAGAAGCTTCCCTTGCATAAGTGTCGTGTTGAAATTGTCCTTCCCCACACTCCCCAACCAGCTTGTAATAAAATGTCGACAATGGCTATCTACGTCAGGATGAAGCGGACTCCATGTTAGCATAAGCTTGTCATGTGATGGGAAGTTCTTCTTTACTCCCCCCCTTTGCTCCCTCCCTCTGGCCGCTCAGGGGGAGGAGAGACAGAAAAATACTTTAGGCCATGGTGGCCAAAAAAAAAATGTGAGTAAGCAGCCTCAAAGAACACTTGGTGGACAGATTTTTTTTGGGGGGGGGGGAATATAGATAATTGCAGCTAAGCAAATAGGTGATGTCGTCACTTCTCGACATTTGTGCATGCACCAGGATTCCGGAAAGGCAGCCCAGTCTGTCGCAGCAAAATTAAACAGAACTCTGGTTAGCCTCGAAAACGCGATGGGACTTCCGTTTAACTTGTAATACGAGAAAAACACCCCTTCCCCCGCAACCCGCTGGAAAAAAGGGAAGACGGTGCATGCCACAAAACCATGGCCAGGACCAAAAATGGCTGATTTAAAAAGCAAGAAGCCTTAGTTTAAAATAAAAATACACTTGAAAATTAGAGAATATCCCCCCCGTTTACGATTATACACATCTCTCGCATGATGTGAAGCTACATTTTTCGCCAATTTGGTTATAAAATTGTAACTGTACGCCGCTCAGAGACACCTTGGGGGGTTCGAGCGGGGTACAAGCCGAAAGCATAAATAAATATAAATAAATAAAATAAAGGGGGGTGGGATTATACTGCCTTTGTCCCTCGTCTTGCCCATTACGTGAAACTTTCCTTCTCCCCCCCCCC